CCTCATTTAGTTTCAAAATCCATCATTATCTAAGATATACTAATACTACTCCCATTCCCAGGATGCCACCCACACCAGTCGATTATAACACCCAGGTACCTACTTACTGCTAGGTGAACAGGGACAGCAGGTGTAAGATAACTAATACCCAGGTACCTACTTACTGCTAGGTGAACAGGGACAGCAGGTGTAAGATGACTAACACCCAGGTACCTACTTACTGCTAGGTGAACAGGGACAGCAGATGTAAGATGACTAATACCCAGGTACCTACTTAATGCTAGGTGAACAGGGACAGCAGGTGTAAGATGACTAATACCCAGGTACCTACTTACTGCTAGGTGAACAGGGACAGCAGGTGTAAGATGACTAACACCCAGGTACCTACTTACTGCTAGGTGAACAGTGACAGCAGGTGTAAGATGACTAATACCCAGGTACCTACTTACTGCTAGGTGAACAGGGACAGCAGGTGTAAGATGACTAACACCCAGGTACCTATTTACTGCTAGGTGAACAGGGAAAACAGGTGTAAGATGACTAACACCCTGGTACCTACTTACTGCTAGGTGAACAGGGACAGCAGGTGTAAGATGACTAACACCCAGGTACCTACTTACTGCTAGTGAACATGGGACAGCAGGTAAGATGACTAACACCCAGGTACCTACTTACTGCTAGGTGAACAGGGATAGCAGGTGTAAGATGACTAACACCCAGGTACCTACTTACTGCTAGGTGAACAGGGACAGCAGGTGTAAGGAAACATATCCAACGTTTCAACACCCGTGCCGGGGATCGAAAAACGGACCCTTGGTATGTGAGCTGAGTGCGCTGCCATCCGAGTCATGGAATTTATAGGAAGTATAAAGTATCCTCGGAATTTATAGTATCCCTGGAATCCATCATGTATTCCTAGAATTTGCAGTGTAACCCTGGAATTTACAGCGAATAACATGAATTTACAGTGTATCCCTGGAATTTACAGTGTATCCCTGGAATTTACAGTGTATCCCTGGAATTTACAGTGTATCCCTGGAACTTATAATATATTCCTGGATTTTATAGTGTATCCCTGGAATTTACAGTGTATCCCTGGAATTTATAATGAATCCCTGGAATTTATAGTGTATCCCTGGAATTTACAGTGTATCCCTGAAATTTACAGTGTATCCCTGGAACTTATAATATATTCCTGGATTTTATAGTGTATCCCTGGAAATTTACAGTGTATCCCTGGAATTTATAATGAATCCCTGGAATTTATAGTGTATCCCTGGAATTTACAGTGTATCCCTGGAATTTATACTGTATCCCTGGAATTTACAGTGTATCCCTGGAATTTACAGTGTATCTCTGGAATTTATAGTGTATCCCTGGAATTTACAGTGTATCCCTGGAATTTACAGTGTATCCCTGGAATTTACAGTGTATTTCTTGAATTTATAGTGTATCCCTGGAATTTATAGTATATCCTAGAATTTATAGTGCATCTTTGCAATTTGTAAAATATCCCTGGAATTTATAGTGTATCCCTGGAATTTATAGTGTATCCCTGGAATTTACAATGTATTTCTGTAATTTTAAAGTATCCCGGAATTTATAATATATCCCCGGAATTTATAATATATCCCTGGAATTTATAAAGTATCCCCGGAATTTATAATGTATCCCTCTAAATTATAATGTATCCCTGAAATTTACAGTGGATCCCTGGAATTTATAGTGGAACCCTGGAATTTATAAAGTATTCTTAGAGTTTAATTTATAATGTATCCCTGGAATATATAATGTATTCCTGGAATTTCTAGTGCATCCCTGCAATTTATAATGTATCCATGGAATTTATAACGTATTCCTGGAATTTATAACATATTCCTAGAATTTACAAAGTATTCTTGGAATTTACAGTGCATCCTTAGAATTTATAGTGTATCCTGGAATTTACAGTGTATCCTTGGAATTTACAGAGTATCTCTGGAATTTATAATGTATCCCTGGAATTTATAATGTATCCCTGGAATTTATAATGTATCCCTGGAATTTATAATGTATCCCTGGAATTTATAATGTATCCCTGGAATTTATAATGTATCCCTGGAATTTATAATGTATCCCTGGAATTTATTAACCGGATGAAAACTTCCATAGATATGTACAGTGATAATAATGAAGAATAAGAAAGTAGAGAGAGAGAGAGAGAGAGAGAGAGAGAGAGAGAGAGAGAGAGAAAGAGAGATAGTAAAGAGTGAAATAACTGTCAATACACAACAAAGATAGATGGGGTGAACTGTAAGACAGAAACGAAGTTTAAAAATCATTAAGTATGACCCAGGTCAGTGAGCATGAGAATGTCGTGCAGTCTGACGTCAGGTCACATGTCAGGTATAATTTAGGAGTAACATGTCAGAAAAGGGGTTGTCGTAAACAGTTTTACAATGCTCACAAAATTCTGTTCGGTATAAATCAATGTAGTTCATGCAGTCCTGAACTTTATATTGGTACTACAAGCAACACCATTGTTGAACTTTATATTGGTACTACAAGCAACACCATTGTTGAAGTTTATATTGGTACTACAAGCAACACCATTGTTGAAGTTTATATTGGTACTACAAGCAACACCATTGTTGAAGTTTATATTGGTACTACAAGCAACACCATTGTTGAACTTTATATTGGTACTGCAAGCAACACCATTGTTGAACTTTATATTGGTACTACAAGCACCACCATTGTTGAACTTTATATTGGTACTACAAGCAACACCATTGTTGAACTTTATATTGGTACTACAAGCAACACCATTGTTGAACTTTATATTGGTACTACAAGCAACACCATTGTTGAACTTTATATTGGTACTACAAGCAACACCATTGTTGACGAAACTCGATTCTATTACATTTCCTTCAGCTATGGATTTGTTTGGTACGACTTTCTCGGTCTTTTGTAAATCAATAGGATGGTTAAAATCTCTCGGGTGAAGATACAGAGCATTAGGCTCTAGCCCAGTTCTAGTGTTATATTTGTGTTGTTGTAATCTTAGTTCAAGACGTTTTCCATCTTTTTCCAATATATAATTGATTGCATTTTGTAAACACAGATTCATTTACTAAGAATACAGTTTGTGAGGATTGTAAACTGTGTTGACAAAATTCCTGCCCCCTTCCCTTTCCTTGCTTGACATGTCATTATGCCTGACATGTGAACTGACAAAGTTTCACAACACTGCAAAGGAATTTGTGAGGTGACATCTCAGCTTCTGTTGTCTTATTATTTTTGCTGTTCCATGATAATGTGAGAAATAACGTAAGCGCTTAGAATATTAATGTCTTTCATTGTAGTTACATTATTTCATATATAAATGTATGTATATATATATATATATATATATATATATATATATATATATATATATATATAAAATATATATATATATATATATATATATATATATATATATATATATATATATATATATATATATATTGTAACGAGAAAGGTGTTCAGTGATGCAAGAAAGAACGTGGATAAAATCTCTTTTGTGCTCATAACTCGAGAGAAACAGTTTCCGTTGAAGTAAGAGTGCATTAGCTGAAAATATATTGATCACAAAGAGTAACAACTGAGGATACATTAATGTTAAGGTATAGTAAGGAAGGTCGCAGTTACCCACCTGCGCTCAGCGACACCATGGCGTCTTGTCTCTCGATATAATGCTCGATTTTCATCAGTTTTTCGGCATAACTCTGCCAAAGTTTTCCTCATTCAGGTGCACAATCGCCAGCTAGTATTTCCAAGGCTGTGTTTAGTGTATCCGTCAGATATTATAACACTCTCATTGTTTCTGGGTTTTTTTTTCCCTCGACGCTGTTGTCAAGAAGAAATTTTTCAGTGAGTGCCACGTCAGAATCAAGAGGTGTTCCCAGCTCCTGTACAGAGGTACTAGAAGCACTGGTGCGGAGGTGTAAAAAAAGATGTGCCGGTACAAAGGTGTTCCCACTAGCGGTGCAGAAGGGTTAATAATTAGTGCTTGAACAAATGTGTTTCAAGGCACCACCGGTTTAAAGAAGCGTTTCCAGCGGTAGTAAAGAGGTGCTAATGATGCTGCTACTAACAGGTGTCAGCAGCGCTGGGACACAGGTATTAATGGCGCGGGTGCAAGAATGTTACTGGCGCCGGTATACAGGTATTAATGGCGCCGGTATACAGGTATTAATGGCGCCGGTACAGAAATGTTCCTGGCGCCGGTGCAGTGGTATTTCCAGCTTAGGTTACAGTCACAGCACCGACGTCATCCTGGAGGTGACCAGTTGACAGGAAATTCTTGACTATACAGCATTCATAATGTCTTATAAACAGTGATTCTCTTCCACTGTTCTCGAAAATTTTGCCATTATTATTATTATTATTATTATTATTATTATTATTATTATTATTATTATTATTATTATTATTATTATTATTATTATTATTATTATTATCTGTCGCCTCAGAGACAATATTGAAAAAGTCTAATCAGCAAGTACGTGAGCACAAGCACTCTTAGCGTGGGCACCAGCACTCTTAGCGTGGGCACCAGCACTCTTAGCGTGGGCACCAGCACTCTTAGCGTGGGCACCAGCACTCTTAGCGTGGACACCAGCACTCTTAGCGTGGGCACCAGTACTCCTACCGTGAGCACAAGCACTCTTAGCGTTGGCACCAGTGCTCTTAGAGTGCCCCAGACATCGACGCGTAAAAAAAACACACGCGGAGATCGCTGACGTTAATCGCGTCCACATTGCCGTACCCACCTCGCGCGTAATCACAAAACACACGCAAAAATAAAGAATGTCTGTGTTTACACGCACACATACACGCGCGCGCACACACAAAAAAAAAGGGGAGAAAAATCACTGTGTAAAGTGCGCGAGGATTTCCCAAGAGCGGAGTTGTTGCGCTGCGCACCGGAGTGACCAGCGCTAGTGGGTGGTTCTTGTTGGGGGCTGGCGACACTTGCCTGTGTGGTTGTGCACTGAGAGACTAGCCTGCTCGCCCATGGCTACCCCTGCCTGCCCATCCCCTGCCCGGCCCATCCCCGATCCCGCCCATCCCCTCATCCCCACGCTGATGCCACCATCCCTCTCCACCCCACCATTTTTGCACCCACTCCACGCCCACCCGGGCGGGATGCTGGTATCTGCCACTCCCTGCTGTCGAACTGTAGGTGCTCCCGGTGGAATGGATGGGTGCAGGAGGGAGAGGAAGGGATAGAAGGGAGGCAGAAGAGGCGGAGTGTTGTCACCCCTCGAGTATGCATCACGTGACTGCAAGGGGCCAACCATACTGCTGCTCTGATGTACGTACAATCATTGCACAGCTAGCATCATCAGAGAGCTGTACCCGTCTTCTCTCTCTCTCTCTCTCTCTCTCTCTCTCTCTCTCTCTCTCTCTCTCTCTCTCTCTCTCTCTCTCTCCCTTCTCTCTCTCTCCTCCTCTCCTCTCTCCTCTCCTCTCTCTCTCTCTCTCTCTCTCTCTCCTCCTCTCTCTCTCTGAAGTGATGCTGGGGCACTATCCTGCTACTGGGGTAAGGCTAGGCTAGAATCCCTCCATTCCTGCTGGGGAGAGGATAGGTCACTATTTCCCCAGCTGGTATCAGGATAGGTCACTGTCTCCCCTGCTGGGGGTTAGAATAGGTTACTATCTCCCCCTTTGCTGGAGTGAGGATAGGTTAATATCTTCCCCCTGCTGGGACAAAGATAGGTTCCTATCTCCTCTGTTGGGGTGAGGATAGGTTACTATCCCTCCACCCTATGCTGGAGTAAGGATGCTGTAATATCTCCCCCTCTACTGGGATGAGGATATGTCACTATCATTCCACCCCTGCTGCGGTAAGGATAGTTTACTATCCTTCCACCCTTGCTGGAGTGAGGATAGGTCACTATCTATCCCCTTCATGAGGTGAGGATAGATCACTATCCCAATGCTGGGGTGAGGATAGATCACTATCCCCATGCTGGGGTGGGGATAGATCACTATCCCCATGCTGGGTTGAGGATAGATCACTATCCCAATGCTGGGGTGAGGATAGATCACTATCTATCCCTCCGTCTACTGAGTTCTGCAAGTCTCTTTTTCCCCGGCCAAGGTAACCATATGTCTCTGTCTATCCCGCAGTCTGGTGACTCTCTCTCTCTCTCTCTCTCTCTCTCTCTCTCTCTCTCTCTCTCTCCTCCTCTCCTCTCTCTCTTCACTCTCTCTTCATCTCCTCTCTCTCTCTCCTCCTCACTCTCTCTCATCTCTCTCTCTCTCTCTCCTCACTCTCTCTCTCTATCTCTCCTCTCTCTCTCCTCTCCTCTCTCACTCTCTCTCTCTCTCTCTCTCTCTCTCATCTCCTCTCCCTCTCTCTCCTCTCTCTCCTCTCTCTCTCTCTCTCTCTCTCTCTCTCTCTCTCTCTCTCTCTCTCTCTCAACTAGGTATCCCTCCCGTGGCTACACATATTCTACAGAGAGTGTTGCTGGCTGACGAAGCATTGAAACTCACTCATTACCTCCAGTCGTGGTGATGTTGTCGTTCCCGGAGCTGCTGATGCTGTCGTCTCGTCGCTCTCTTAAATTGTTGTCGCTGTCTTCACGTGTCCTCTACACGACACAAGACATAGGAAGCACGAAACACAAACCTGTCGAAAGCAAGTTACTTGAAAGCTCGACTTCTGCGAGTGTGTGTGTGTGTGTGTGTGTGTGTGTGTGTGTGTGTGTGTGTGTGTGTGTGTGTGTGTGTGTGTGTGTGTGTGTACTCACCTAGTTGTACTCACCTAGTTGAGGTTGCGGGGGTCGAGTCCGAGCTCCTGGCCCCGCCTCTTCACTGATCGCTACTAGGTCACTCTCCCTGATCCGTGAGCTTTATCATACCTCTGCTTAAAGCTATGTATGGATCCTGCCTCCACTACATCGCTTCCCAAACTATTCCACTTACTGACTACTCTGTGGCTGAAGAAATACTTCCTAACATCCCTGTGATTCATCTGTGTCTTCACTTCCAACTGTGTCCCCTTGTTACTGTGTCCAATCTCGGAACATCCTGTCTTTGTCCACCTTGTCATTCCTCTCAGTATTTTGTATGTCGTTATCATGTCCCCCCCTAGCTCTCCTGTCCTCCATGTCGTCAGGTTGATTTCCCTTAACCTCTCCTCGTAGGACATACCTCTTAGCTCTGGGACTAGTCTTGTTGCAAACCTTTGCACTTTCTCTAGTTTCTTCACGTGCTTGGCTAGGTGTGGGTTCCAAACTGGTGCCGCATACTCCAATATGGCCTAACGTACACGGTGTACAGGGTCCTGAATGATCCTTATTAAGATGTCAGAATGCTGTTCTGAGGTTTGCTAGCGCCCATATGCTGCAGCAGTTATTTGGTTGATGTGCGCTTCAGGAGATGTGCCTGGTGTTATACTCCACCCCAAGATCTTTTTCCTTGAGTGAGGTTTGTAGTCTCTGACCCCCTATAACTGTACTCCGTCTGCGGTCTTCTTTGCCCTTCCCCAATCTTCATGACTTTGCACTTGGTGGATTGAACTCCAGGAGCCAATTGCTGGACCAGGTCTGCAGCCTGTCCAGATCCCTTCGTAGTTCTGCCTGGTCTTCGATCGAGTGAATTCTTCTCATCAACTTCACGTCATCTGCGAACAGGGACACCTGTGTGTGTGTGTGTGTGTGTGTGTGTGTGTGGTGTGTGTGTGTGTGTGTGTGTGTGTGTGTGTGTGTGTGTGTGTGGTGTGTGTGTGTGGTTGTGTGTGTGTGTGGCGTCGTGTGAGTTATGCATTATTGGTGTGCACAACTCATCATGTGCACATCGTTTATGTGCGACTCTCGTGTGCACATCGCTGTCAATGCTCTGACAAAATCTCAATAGCGGGAATTTGTAAATTAAAAAAAATGACCACAGGTTTGGCGTAATATTACAGTGACACAGTACAGTGACACAGTACAGTGACACAGTACAGTGACACAGTACAGTGACACAGTACAGTGACACAGTACAGTGACACAGTACAGTGAGCAACACAGTACAGTGACACAGTACAGTGAGCAACACAGTACAGTGACACAGTACAGTGACAACACAGTACAGTGACACAGAACAGTGAGCAACACAGTAACAGTGACACAGTACAGTGAGCAACACAGTACAGTGACACAGTACAGTGAGCAACACAGTACAGTGACACAGAACAGTGAGCAACACAGTACAGTGACACAGTACAGTGAGCAACACAGTACAGTGACACAGCACAGTGAGCAACACATTACAGTGACACAGTACAGTGAGCAACACAGTACAGTGACACAGTACAGTGAGCAACACAGTACAGTGACACAGCACAGTGAGCAACACAGTACAGTGACACAGTACAGTGAGCAACACAGTACAGTGACACAGCACAGTGAGCAACACAGTACAGTGAGCAACACAGTACAGTGACACAGCACAGTGAGCAACACAGTACAGTGAGCAACACAGTACAGTGACACAGTACAGTGAGCAACACAGTAGAGTGACACAGTACAGTGAGCAACACAGTACAGTGACACAGTACAGTGAGCAACACAGTACAGTGACACAGTACAGTGAGCAACACAGTACAGTGACACAGTACAGTGAGCAACACAGTACAGTGACACAGTACAGTGAGCAACACAGTACAGTGACACAGTACAGTGAACAACACAGTACAGTGACACAGCACAGTGAGCAACACAGTACAGTGACACAGTACAGTGAGCAACACAGTACAGTGACACAGCACAGTGAGCAACACAGTACAGTGACACAGCACAGTGAGCAACACAGTACAGTGACACAGCACAGTGAGCAACACAGTACAGTAACACAGTACAGTGAGCAACACAGTACAGTGACACAGTACAGTGAGCAACACAGTACAGTGACACAGCACAGTGAGCAACACAGTACAGTGACACAGCACAGTGAGCAACACAGTACAGTGACACAGCACAGTGAGCAACACAGTACAGTGAGCAACACAGTACAGTAACACAGTACAGTGAGTAACAAAGTACAGTAACACAGTACAGTAACAGTGCAGTAACACAGTACAGTGAGTAACACAGTACAGTGAGTAACACAGTACAGTGAGCAACACAGTACAGTGAACAACACAGTACAGTTACATAGTACAATAACACAGTACAATAACACAGTACAGTGAACAACACAGTACAGTAACACAGTACAGTAACACAGTACAGTAACACAGTACAGTGACACAGTACAATAACACAGTACAGTGAGCAACACAGTACAGTGAGCAACACAGTACAGTGAGCAACACAGTACAGTGAGCAACACAGTACAGTGACCAACACAGTGCAGTGACCAACACAGTAAAGTGACCAACACAGTATAGTGAGCAACATAATACTGTGAGTAACAGTACAGTGAGCAACACAGTACAGTGAGTAACACAGTACAGTGAGCAACACAGTACAGTGAGCAACACAGTACAGTGAGCAACACAGTACAGTGAGCAACACAGTACAGTGAGCAACACAGTACAGTGAGCAACACAGTACAGTGACCAACACAGTACAGTGAGCAACACAGTACAGTGAGCAACACAGTACAGTGAGCAACACAGTATAGTGAGCAACATAATACAGTGAGTAACACAGTACAGTGAGCAACACAGTACAGTGAGCAACACAGTATAGTGAGCAACATAATACAGTGAGTAACACAGTACAGTGAGCAACACAGTACAGCGACCAACACAGTACAGTGAGCAACACAGTACAGTGAGCAACACAGTATAGTGAGCAACATAATACTGTGAGTAACACAGTACAGTGAGCAACACAGTACAGTGACCAACACAGTATAGTGAGCAACACAGTATAGTGAGCAACATAATACTGTGAGTAACACAGTACAGTGAGCAACACAGTACAGTGAGCAACACAGTACAGTGAGTGACACAGTACAGTGAGTGACACAGTAG